TTCCAATCAGAAGCCTCCTATTCACAAAAACCTCTACCCCCCAGCACTCACGTTAGAAGCTCCTGCTTCATATCAGAAGCCTGCTTTCACATCAAACTGCCTCCACAGCAGGAGCCACCTTCATAAAAGGATCCCCCCTTAACAGCAGGAGCCACACTTCATTTTAGAGTCTCCCATTCATATCAGCAGCCCCTATTTCACATCAAAGTCCACCCTTCACAGCAGGAGCTCCCTTATTTTATCAGGATCCACCCTTTCACATCAGAGTCCTCCCTTTATATCAGAGTCCTCCTTTTATATCAGTGTCCCCCTTTCACATCAGACTCCCCCCTTCATATCAGAGTCCCCCTTTCATATCAGAGTCCCCCCTTTATATCGGAGTCCCCTTTCACATCAGAGTTCCCCTTTCACATCAGAGTCCTCCCTTTATATCAGAGTCCCCCCTTTATATCGGAGTCCCCCTTTCACATCAGAGTCCTCCCTTTATATCAGCGTCCCCCTTTCATATCAGAGTCCCCCCTTCACATCAGAGTCCCCCCTTCACAACAGAGTCCTACCTTACAATCTTCACCACGGTGCGGCTGTTCTGCACTGAAAACTCTCTCACTAGCTAGCCAGCAGTAGGAGAGAGGTGTTGCAAGAACCTGGAGCAAGATACTAAAAAAACGCCCCCAAAAGCTGTTTAAAAGAGGGGCTGAGGTTGTATCCTGGGTCACTGAGTACCTCCAATAACATGTTTAGCACTCTGATAAAGGGGCATGGCACCGAAACACATCAGTGGAGGTTCTCATTAAAACCAGTCATACACAATTACCCCATTTACATTAAATAATGTGTATAGAAGGATTCTCCCCCTGCCAACCCACAAAATACCTGAACAATGATTGCAGCTGATTGCCTGCAGTCGCTATTCAGCTGATTTTTTTTCCCACCTGGCTCCTTCGATTTTTTCAATCCAAGTTTGGCAAGCAAACTATGTGGGCAGGGATTCCCGTGGCCCGAAATTCAAGCCACGGGTGGCCCTGCCTACACCACCCGCTTTACAAGCTTCAATTAAAATTGAAGGGGATGGACAAACATTTTTTATTCATGTATGGCCAAACTTTACCCAAGATACAACTTCACTCCCCTCCTTTAAACATC